GACAGCTGTGGACCCATTGTTCCCAGTTAAGAATGTGCTGGTAACATATCTGGCAGCGATCCATGGCGTGCTGTTCTGTGCTGTGACGTGCACGGCAGAAGAGTTATTTTCAGACAACCTGGCATGAAAAGAATTTTTAGCCAAGCAGCAGTGAGATGTGTCGCTGCTCCTGGTGGCACCGCTGATGGTATCTGCTGCTCTGGAGGAGGCCAGCGGATAAAGACCAGCTTTAGATGTGCTGCAGTAACATGACAGCTTTTTCTTTTTCTGGTTTCTACAGACTGATTAACAACAAAGCAACACAACAAGCCACAGTCTGAATCGATGGAGGAACATTTACGTTCTCTCCTTTCTCCGCCCCCTCCAGCTCGCACAACCCCGGCCATGAAGACGGCGCCCCCCGGCTCCAAGACGCTGAAGCTGCTGTCGTCTCTGAGCCACGTTCCCGCTCTGACGGTGGAGAGTCCGGCCCAGCACACCGCCCCGCTGTACGAGAGCGAAGAGCTGTAGGCCCCGAACACTCCCCCACACCCCCCACCAGCCATCACCTCCGAACTGTTAAACCGGGCTGTAACGTCAGGGCAGAAACAGCTCCACACACGAGCACAGATTAGAAGCACCGCAGCACACATCGGGGTAGTTTAGACCGAAAAGGCTTCGTTAAACCAGCAGCGCCGGGGTCGAGGTACAAGGCAGCTACGCTCTGCCAAATTTACAACATTTGTAATAACTGACAGTAAGACACAGATGTTCCTCCATCCTCCAGAGGTGGAGCGATTCAACAACTGCTCCTGTAAAGCTTGTTTTGGAGCCGCTTTGTTTCCACAGCGTAGGACTCCTCATATTGTCCATCTGCTGCTGTTTGTCACCGCCGTCCCTGCCCTCCTGTCGCTGCCTTCGTTGGTTCATGCTTGATGAGCCTTTAAGTCTCTGCTTTACTTTCTCCGGCCCGTCCCAGAATGCTGCACCTCGGTCATGGATGTATTAATAGACCTGACTCTGGCGTGGCAGGCGGCCCTGGTGCCAGGTTCTGTCCCAGAGGCCTTAACACGGCAGCACAAGCTCCTGTAGTCCATTAACATTTAGAACACTGATGACAGAACAAATGGGCTGTTGGTTTTGAATTTAGTATTTTGTAGACGTTAGCCAGAGCGAAGATGCAGACCGAGCCTGAGAAACCAGACACCAGGACATACAGGCAGTGCACCTAAAATCTGTCAACTTAACACTTTCATTGGTTCCACCGGTTCACCTGTTTGAGTGTCTCTGGGCCCTGCACAGGTAGATTACCTCACTCAGTTTAACTTTAATACATTAGAGCTCTTTACTTCAGTCATTGTGGGAGACTAGAGGCTTCTCTGTGCACGGTACATCCAGCAGCATCTACTGGTGCATGTGAGGTGTTTATGGGACGTCTGTGAATTATAGCATCAGAAAGCAATGTGGCTAACACTCAGGTCTCTCCCTCTAAACGTCTGCATGCACAGCGACCACCAACCACCACAACCTTTAGCCAACATTGTTAGTATTACAGAGAGTTCAGCAAAAGTTATTTAAAATGTTAAGAAAAAAAAACTCTCCAAGACACTCGTTCCACGTTGTGGCAGATTTATGGCTAACAGCAAATTGACGCAGAAATGAAAATCATATTTACCACTGCCTCGAATAAAGCCAAAGACAAGCTGCCTTACAAGAAGTCTCAGATCCTTTCTGTGGAAAAAATATTTATCTGCAACTTTAGTCCAGTTTATAACCATTTATAGACTCTGTTAGGAAAGAACCACTATTGGAACTCACAACAAGGTAATGCTTAACATGTAGCATTTAAACAACTTTTCATACATCGGTGCAACCAGTGTAACAGTGTAGCCCTGCTGTGTGCTGCTGTCTCTAGAACAGCAGTCTCCAACCACTGGGACACAGACCGGTACCGTCCCACACAGAAAGAATAAAAAGGTTTAATTAGTTTCTGGCGGACTCTGCAGGATGTTTTATTTTGAAAAATGACAAGCTCGTCTTCCCATCCCTTCCGTCTGGGCTTGTTTCTGGGACTTGACTGTCAGTTTTCATGTCCAGCTATTAAACAGAATCGTTGAAACGAATAAAAAAAAAAACTAACTTCTCTGGAGAGCGTCTTTGAAAAGATTGATGCTGAGACAGAAGAAAAAGTCAAAACATGTTTAGCAATAAAGAGTAATTTTACTTATTTTGAACACTTCTTATCTGTTACGTGTGTGACGACCGGTCTGTTGAAAATATTTTTTCTTTAAACCTGTCCGTGGTGCAAAACAGGTTGGAGACCGCTGATGTAGAAAGCAGAAATAAACTACATTTCCCACAATCCAACAGTGCCACCACCTGTCACACTCTGCACTTTAACCCTGACGTCCGGTCGCTGCCCTTCTTCCCTCCGTTTCAGCTTTCCCTGAATCATTGCTAGCTAATATTTGAGCCTCCATGTTGAGGAACTCGTCCCTGATTCACTGCTGCTGCCTCTGATGTGTCTGTAAAACCTTTAACTGGAGAAGAAAGTCGCATTTTGAACCTTTCATACTAATCAGATGTTGCTCAGAGTCTCTGCTGTGGTAAATTCAGCCTCGTATGTGTTTTTAGAAGTTATACGGTATAACGTGAATGAAGCTATTTATTTGAACTGAAGTTAGTAGTTGTCAGTGTTGCCTCTCTGGCTGCAGTCAGAGATCCAGAACACGAGCAGGCTGCCATCCTGATACCGACTGAACACAAAACCCATCTGCACTCAAAGCACCGTTCAGACCTTTAACGTTTACATTTTATCACATCTGCAGTGCAGATAAGACGTTTTACACTTCAAAAGGAAACCATCACTTCTCTCTTTAAATGCATGTTTCTACGATTCTGTCTTTGTGTTAAGTTCAGTGACGGCCATCAGTTTGTCAGCCTGCACACTTCATAAACAGATCTATCATAAACGGAGCTTGAGTTGCCTGCTTATCTTGGAATTGCTTATTATTACCAGCCTGGAGCTTATTTTAAAAAAAAAAGTAAATAAATGAGAGAAAACTTGTATTTTTAGCTGGATCTGCATGCAAGTGAAAATCTGGCATTTGAATCCTGTGTGTCCAGATTTTTGGGCCTCAGGTGGTGGAGAAAAAAAAAAAAAAGCATTTTCTGGCTTAAACGTTGCCCCTGATGTCACGATATAAACGGATGTATTTGGGCTGAGTTTACACAGGAGCATCTAAACCTCTCTGTGCTCGTCTGATCCAGCATCGCAGCCTGTCGCTCTGCTTTGGATTTGCTTGACGCACGAGAGGAAGTTAAAATTCTGCAGGTGTGTGTTTCTCCTGAAGTACTGTTTGTTGTGTAAGAACATATCACTGGATGAATGAGGAATAAAATCTATGTGACCTTGGCTTTGCTTCCTGGTTGTTTTTTTGTCTCCCTCTAGTGGCGGCGAAGGAAACTGATTTAATACATTGACACACACACAGGTGGGATTCTATTCATTTTTTTTTTTATTAAAAACAAATCAATGACAATATCAAAAATCACATAAAAGCTGTTTTCTGGCTAAAAGAGGACTGGAGGTGTTTCTAGTAACTGTACATCTGTCATGAGTTTATTGTAATAAAGTTGTACTCTGATTCCTGCCAGCCTCGCCAACGCTCTTCTCCTACATCAACAACAGTTCATACATCACGTCCGTATGTACAGTAATGTGACGAGAAATAGAAAAAAGGAATGAAAAGGCAGGAGGGGAGCAGCTCCGTCCTGTGAGAATCCAAATCAGCGTTAAAGTGAAAGTGCCCAGCTCCGGCTTCTCAGAGCTGTAAGGCACATGAACAACACCAGACATACAGCTCCAGAGAGGCTGTAAAAATCAGAACAGCGTTGAACTGAAATGACATTTTGAATTATCTGTACGTTTGGAGGGAAGAAGAAGAAGAAGAAGAAGAAAAAGCAGTTTTGCGTGGTTCTAAACATCTGAACCGGCTGATGTGTGACTAATGGATCCTGGCAGGCGCCCTCGTGTTCGCCCGTAAGGTGAAATAAATCAAAACCTTCCTCGTGCCTTTTCTTTGACACCTGCTTCAAACTTACAAGGTGATGCGCATGTGAAAAAAAAAAAAACCCTCGGTGTCACGCAGAGCTGCTCTTAAATCCGACCAACTGACAGAAAGTCCATCTACAGCTGCAGCCTCGAAAAGCCAAACACATTTCATTACTAAGAAAACACCGAAAGGAAAACAAGTGGGAATAAAACTGTGCGCTTACAGGGAAGAAACAAAATAAAGGTTGTTTTTACATGGATGGACGCTGATAAACCTCACGTCTTAAAAAGTACTTCGCTCGAACGTCGCTGAGGCTGAAAACAAACTCAGCGACGTTATTTACACGACTGTGGTGCAGCGTCATGGCGGCTCTGATGGAGGCAGGACAGCTCAGAGTCTTTTAGGTTCCTCCAGAAACGTTTCAGGTGTGCGTTGGAGCCGTCAGATCTCCACGTCGCTCTCTTTGTCGTTGTCGTGGTCGCCGTCGTAGAACTCGTTCGCTGCTTCTGGCCTGAAGAATTCAAGATGGAGAAATTCAGACAACAGTTCTGCAGACAACAAACGTTAATGCATAAAGTTCTAAAGTTCCATATCCCTATTGTGCAAGGTGTCAATGGTTGTCTTTTGGACAACTGTCAGGTCAGCAGTCTTCCCCATGATTGTGTAGCCTACAGAACTAGACTGAGGGACCATTTAAAGGCCTTTGCAGGTGTTTTTAGTTAATTAGCTGATTAGAGCGTGGCATCAGGTGTCGCCAATATTGAACCTTTCCACAATATTCTAATTTTCCGAGGTAGTGAATTTGGGATTTTCATTAGTATTCAGGTATAATCATCAAAATTAAGAGAAACAAACATTTGAAATACATCAGTCTGTGTGTAATGAATGAATATAATGTACAAGTTTCACTTTTTGAATGGAATTACTGAAATAAATACACTTTTTCATGATATTCTAATTATATGACCAGCACCTGTATATAAGAGTCTGTGCAACATCAGTATTTTTCTACTTTGGGACAAACCTGAGCCATATTAGCATTTGTCTATCACTATTTCTGCTCATTAAAGAATCTGTAATACCATTCACATGTGCAATATTATTTCAACATCTAGAGGAATGTGGATGATCTGCGCTAGTGCTTAGGTACATTTTTTGTTTATTTTTAATTTCCTAAATGGTTTTCTCTCTCCTTTGTTGCTGTGGGGTTAATAAAGGATGATTTTATGTGTGACTCCTCATCGTCTCTGACCTGGTGTAGTTTTCCTCGGCGCCCCTCTCGTCCGGGTCGGGCTCGTCGTTGCGTTCGTAGCTCAGCATGTCGGACGGAACGTCGTGGATCTGGACGCTGGGCGCGTGGTTCAGCATCTTCAGGTTCTCGAACACCGTCTGACGGATCTGCTCCAAGTACTGCAGCGACGAGACGAAGACAGGAAGCCGTGAACATTCAGACACATGTAGGACCAGAAGAAAGGCTCACAAACCGGTTCAGACATCATGGATACGTAACACTGACGCTTCATCAGACTGTTAAAGTTAAAGTGTTGAAGTTAGTTTGTCAGTCTGTTTGAGTTAACTGTCATTGAGACATAGGTCAGATTTCCATTATTGTTCCTCCCAGCTTCATTCAGATGATTAGAGTGTGAGGTTAGACGGTACATCGAGTGATTATGTATTTGTATTCTTGATATATATATGTTTATATTTTTCTTTTTTGTACACCGTAAGACTTTGAGAAACAACATTTCAATTTCTCTGTATTTAAGAGCACATGTAGAGATAACAATAAAGTTCACTTCGATGTCTGATACATAATAAGCTAAAGACTGAATCCAAACTACTAACAAGATTGTCAAACTGTATAAATAACAAACAGCCAAGTTTATTTACAACTAGCTAAACCCTGTAAATTCTCTCTAAGTGTTATGATAATTTATTGAACTACATAAAATGTGTTTCATAGCTCTGAGGTTGTTTTAATATTTAGCTCTTCTTCTATCTGTAGGCTCGGAGGCATTCATGTTGACAATAACATAAACATCCTGCTGTCAGGCTGTGAAAGTTAAAAACAACTAATAAAAAACTTGATATGACAGAAAAATATTTGGAGTTTAGTAAATGGATCCTACTTTTATAGAACAGTAACATCCTGAGAGCTGTGATGGACCTCATTTAACTACAGCTGATGAACTGTGACTCAGTTCACCTTCAATCCTGTCGTCATGTTCTGGAGGTTTTAGAAGTAATTAGTGAAGTTACTGCTGTTGTTTCATGTGTGCAGCTCGTTCTCGTTGGAGAAGCTCATATGGATCCTGCTGCTGCCAGATATTTTAGGTATTTATTGAACTCAGAGGAAAAACTCCTACAAACAGCTGGAAGCAACAAACTAAACCTCAGCTGCTGTTAACATTTAGCCAAAACCTGGAACACATGTTTTACTGGTGAGTTTCTTGAATGCTAGAATCTTATGAATCTTATCAATCAGTGAAAGTCGAAGCAGTTCAGACTTATGCCGTGTTGAAAGTGACACGGAGATGTTACCGGGTCCAACACGGTAATTTAAATCAGAACTTTCACAGGAAATGAAGCAGGATGAAGACATGAAGACGACACGTTCAGATGCCGTCAGGTTTGGGGGAAATGAACGCATGTATGAAAGTACTGGACGATGTTGGTACCTGTCTGGAGTTCTGGTTCTCTATCCGAGTGCTGACATCCGGATGCAGCGTGAAGTCTGGAGCAAAGTACTCAAAATACTCTGCAAGGAAAGAGAATAAAAGTGGAGGGCATCAGACAAACAGGAATGACTTCAGCTCCTTGTCTTCTACATTCCTCATGTCCTTGTTTATCACAAATGATCCACTCAGATGTAAAAGTAGCTCCTAAAAACTTCTAAACACACAAGTGTAGGATTCCTAACTTGCTTTTCTGAGTCTAATTCTCAAAATATTTTAACTCTAAAAGTAAATCCTAAAGTGTGAGATAACAATATAGCAATAATACTTTCTTAGCAATACAACTTGATTGTTTAAAATTCCTAAACATTAAATCAACCCACTGACAAAACAACAGCCTAATAACTGGATATGACGGTTTACACAGTTCTGTAGACCTGATTGTATATTACATGTGCAGAAACACAGATTATGTGCATATTGAAGAAATAAAACTGGTTTCAAGTCCAAGTTAAGTTGATTCTCTATTAAACCACTGCTGATGAAACATGTGTGAACCTGCAGATGTGCTCAGAGGACACCTGAGGGCTCAACAGGTTCAACTATGACTTGTTAGTTTAACTGAAACAAAGCCGATCCAACACCTCTAGCTCTGTGTACTCATGACAGTCACAGAGAGCTCAACCAATCCCTGCAGACATCGTAGGTTCATTCATGAAGCGTGATGTAATTTCTAACAACAGCTTTGCTGTAAAAACCCTCACAGCTCCTCTGAACCTCCAGTAGATGGCGCTAAAGACTAAAGATGCTCAGCAGCAGCTCTGATTAATTCAGTTTCTGTGTGAGCCGCTGACACAGGACATGTTTTAGGACACATTTAGCCACTTTGGGCAACAAGAAGACACCTGAAGAAACACGACATGATGCAGAAGAACAACTCACCGCTATACGGCAGCTCATCACTGATGGACTCATCCACCAACAGAGACGTCTCAAAAGTCCTGCAGCACAAAACAACAACAACAGGTTACTCTCATTGACCGAGCTGCAGCTGGATATTTTTTGATATTGATGCTGTTAAAGCCACTGATTCATTTATTGATTGTGTGTCAGACTGACCAGCAGCGAGCCACGTTCCTCACAGTGTACCCTCCTCCTCCCAGCACCAGCAGAGGAATCTTAAAACTCTTGACAAACTCCACACACTCGCTGGAAGACACAACAGGATGCACACACATGTTAAAGACAAGAGGCAGCTGTTATCTTTATTTATTACATCTGTTTTAACATATCAATATGTGTGTATATTCATAATCTGACACTGTTTTCTTTTTGCAGCCATTCTGGTGCAACAGCATCCATGTTTTTTTTCTTCTCCACCATGATGTAACTGATCTTTTCTTTCTATAACTTCTCAGGTGCAACAACAGAAATCAAACACCGTTGTTCTGTATAAATCTATAATTCTACACATCAGCTGGGTGCATCATCCATCATGTGCCATCAGTACATGTTGATGTACTGATGGCACATCAGGAAAACAGTCTTTATTTTTATCTTTGCTGTATTTTTGCTTTTCTTGTCTTGTTTCTTACTACGTTTTATTTGCTGGAATGTAAATTTTCTCAATGAGGGATCAATATCTTATGTTAAACTCATAACTTAAATGCATTTGTGGTTTGTATTTTCCACCTACAGTATGTTTCCAGGGTTTTTATATCATTTTTAGACATGCAGCGCCTAAACGTTTCTATTCAAATGAGGGCTCTGAGTTGAACTAGTTCACAGTGAGCAGCAGGAGCTCTGAGTGATGCTCTACTGCTCAGAATAAAAGTGGACATGGACATGAGGTGACTAGAAGACTGCTCAGTTACTGTTTCTCTTATTCACAGCCTTTTTGCTGCTGCGCTGCTGATCTCAGTTCATTTATAGTGAATCTTTTCAGCCCAGTTTAACCTGCAGGAGACTGTGAGACTCCTGTAATGTGTTTTACTGTTAGAGAGGAAATAAATTCATGACCAGCAGGAAGAGACGTCACTAATGAAGATGAAATACAGTCGACATAAAGCGCCTAACCTTCCAAATCAGTCAAAGACACGTTTGCTGTTTCAAAACAACACACTCGACTTTAACCAGGAGACGTGTGATTTAAGTCTCACCCGTGCCCTCGTATGCTGAGGTTGAAGCAGCCCAGCCGGTCGCAGCCCAGAGAATCGGCTCCACACTGCAAACACACAGTCATTTATAATTTCACTACATGACACACGACGTCAGATTTGGACCTGAAGCTGTCTTCAGACTGACCTGCAGGACGATGCAGGTGGGCTGGTAGAAGTCCACCACCTGCTTGATAACCGGCTGGAACAGCTGCCTGTAGCCTGAAACACAGTGGAGACGGTGTCAGGTGGAATCTTAAACTTCTGATGTGTCAGTAATCAGGTTTTTGGACTCACTCTGGTCATCGATGCCGTCTCTCAGGGGAACGTTGAGGCAGTAGTAGCGGCCGCTCTCTGCACCGACCTCGTACATGTCACCTACAAGAAACACATTTTATCTGTTATTGTACATGTACAGAGACAACCAGTTAATGAGGTTGTACACTGCAAAAAAATAAAAATCCAGCAAAAACGGTGCCAGAAAACAACAAGTTCAAGCATTTTGGAAACCTGTAACAGTCAAATATTGATAAAACTGTGCAAATAATAACAAATATTAATAGAATAACAGTATTTTTTACAGATATAAATGCAGTAATCAGGTGGCTACGATCACACAGTGTGAAAGAGCATACAGAACATCCATCCATCATCTATACGCTGCTTAATCTTCACTAGGGTCGTGGGGGGCTGGAGTCTATCCCAGCTGACTCAGGGTGAAGGCAGGAGACACCCTGGACAGGTAACCAGTCTATCACAGGGCTACACTTAGAGACAGACAACCAAGCACACTCACATTCACACCTATGGACAATTTAGAATCACCAATTAACCTCAGCATGTTCGTGGACTGTGTGGGAGGAAGCTGGAGAACCCAGAGAGAATCCACACTGCACGGGGAGAACATGCAAACTCCATGCAGAAAGATCCCGGGTGTCCTCACCGGGACGTAAACCGGGGATCTTCTAGCTACGAGATGATGGTGCTAACCACCGAGCAGCCTTGCAGCCCCATACAGAACATATACTAAAAAAAATACAGAGTTTTGATGTGCAGAATATTAATAGTTTTGGCCGTAAAATAATAAAAAGTCAACATGTCAATCCATATTTTTTTCTGTGATTTTACTAGTTTGTATCTGTACTTTCACAAAACAGAGAAAAACTGTAAAATAACAAGAAATAGTTCAATAAAATTACAGTTTAAAACGTTCTAAGAGCTGTAACAGTGCAGCCAGAAAACTCTGACATGACAAAGCAAAGCTCGCTGCTACTTTTTAAGATTCACTGCGGCTCAGTAAATCCGTTCATCTGCTAAGCCTCGTGTGTCCTACTTCTTCTGAAAATGAATGAGCACCAAGAGGTCCAACAACAAAGAAACCTCTTATTTGTCTGTTTGTGCTGCTCATAAGCAAAACATTCTGATGAATATTTTTAGAACGTACCCTCAACAACACTATCTTAACAGCAAAGCATCTTTTAGATATTTAAAGCAGCACCGACCCGTTCCAGGGAAAAAGTAGTTCCCGTATTTGTGGAAGGACACGGTCATGACTCGGTCCGTCAGGTAGAAGGCTTCCTGGACGCCGTCGCCGTGGTGAATGTCTATATCGATGTAGAGCACTCGAGGGTGATACCTGTAACCACACAGAGTGGGAGAGTTGTGAAAAGTCCCACAGCGAACATGAGGTGAACGTTACTGAGTCGAGCGTCGTCTTACTTGAGAAGCTCCAGAATACTGATGACGATGTCGTTGACGTAGCAAAACCCCGACGCCTGCAAACAGGAGAAACATCTTAATCTGGAACTACGCAAAGAGCAGAACAGAATGACATCAACACAGGGGACTTTGTTCTGACCTCGAACTTCTTGGCGTGATGCAAACCTCCGGCCCAGTTGATGGCGATGTCACAGATCTGGAAAATAAAGAAACGTCAACATCAGTTAAAACAGGACGCATGAGTTCAGATTCCTGCCAGTATTTTCCAAAACATTTTGGCCCAATGATAGTTCATGAAAATGTTTTTTGCATCTAACTGCAGAGAAGATTTAACATATTACTGCACCTCTTCCTGTTATTATCGTCCTCTGACAGATGCAGACACAAAATAAAACACTTCTCATACGAACACATTCACGGGACAAAAATACTTCAACATATTTGTAAAGCGTGACCCATTGTTTATGTAACATTTTCAAATGAAACTGTAAAATTTCTGACCAATTAATTTTCAATAGATATTTTATTTTTAAGCCTTTACTGGTTGATGTACAGGATAGACAAAAAATCAGCCTTGGCTTCAGCCGATACCTTTTTCGGTTACAGAGTTTGTTGAATTTTTTTGTGAGAAAAAAAATGTTTCATTCAAGCATGTGTAATAATTCTTGTGTCAGCTGAATGCACACAAATTCAATGTTTGTACTGTAGATTGTAACCGAAACAAACCATTCATTCATTCATGCCAATAACAGAGTGCATCCCTAATTTAAAAGTCTCAAAATCCCCATAAAGGAGCAGGAAGGTTAACGCAGCTTTACTGTCATGTAGCGCCTTAACGATTTTATCAACAGAAAACGAATCAGCCTCAATCGTAATAGCTGAGTTTCATTGATATTCAACTAAAAACTGTGAAAAAAAACGTCAAAAATTCACTCAAAACTCATCAACATAAGGCATCTGAGAAAGTTGCAATGAATGTTTTTTCACCATTTATCAGCTGATCGACAAACTTACTTAATAATGACGGAAATAATTGCCATCATGTAAAACAAGCAGCTGTGGAACACATTAGTAAACATTTTCTCTCCATGTTAATATATCAGCAATGAGAATAAAGACAAAGCACTGAACAAATAGAACAAAGTCATATTAGCATCATAAGCTCAGTGATGTAGAGTCCAGGATGTACCTGTGACATGACTGGACCATTTTCATTCAACTGGCAGAGCACGGCCGATTTTTAAAAATCTTTTTCTCAGACTCACAGGACTCACTGGTCAGAACTCGGGGACATTAAAGCAGCAGCCGTGTTGCTGCTGTTTCAACACAACAACAACAGATTAGATTGTTAACGCAGCCTGAGGATGAGCTGTCCACTGATTTAGGCATCATCTGCTGCACACGTGTGTCCCTTTAATCAACAGCTTCTTTGTAGTAAAACACAAACAAGACAGGAAGCGAACACGGCTGCAACTGAAATAACAACAAAAACCACTAAATCAGTGCTGACCATGCCTTTGATGGGGAGCTGCCTCAACAGCACAGACCACCACATTCACTCTCACCAACACTAAAAGCATCCGTTAGAGTTGTGTGTTTGTATTGTTTGTGTGTGTGTGTGTTTGTATTGTGTGTGTGTGGGCGTTACCTTGTGATTTAGCTGTGTGGCTCCCTGTAAAGATGCTCCTGTGTATCTGGAGCAGAACTCAAATAGACCTGGAAACACAGGACTGAAACACACACACAAAATCATTTGGTTATGGGTTAGTCTGGTTTCTACCAGCTGTGATAATCAAACAGGCTGCTAAATGCTGCGTTTACGCTGCAGACTGATCAACAAAATTTCAGAGGTGTAAGTAAGCAATCGAACAGCTTCAGGTGACTACGCATGACAGTCACGACTATCAGTCCACGTAGAGTCAATGCACCAGGTTGGTTTTACTCTTTTGACAGAAATCTGTACATTTTCATCTCATTTTAGAGCATTTGATAAACAAAAAAGGCAATTATGCTCAAGTAAATCAAACCCCAATTAACATGAGTGGTTTAAAATTAATAGTTTTTATCAATTCTCACTTCTTATGAGCTTGGCACAAGTTAAAACCTCTCCCCAAAAATTCCTCTCTGCAGGAAAATCCCCTGTTCGTATGATTTGTATAAAGAAAGGCGCTACTCACCAGTCGTCTCCTACGTTAAATGTGTTGAGGCTCTTTGTGAAGCCCTGCATGTTATTGGGGCTGACTTTCTGCAGGAAGTCGATGTAGTCTTCAGAGTGGAACCGACACATGTCGTGCTGAGAGGCTTTGTAAGGCTTGAACACCTGGTTAGAAAAAGAACATTTGATAAAGCACAGTGTGAACTTTTTGAGCATTTTCCTCTTTGTGATCAAATGGTGAATCAGTCAGTTCATCTCCTCACCATCATTTTCTTGTAGAGTCCATAGTGCAGAACCAGACTGTGAGTGAGCGACAGACGGTGAGGCTTCATCGGGTGTCCAGCACCTAAAGGAGACGCACAGGTTTCAGATTATAGTGCAAATATTCAAATAATGTCAGTGACTTTCATGAAAATGTCTCATTGCTATTTTTCTGGGTAACAATTTTAAAACATGTGATGGAGCATTGCCACATAAGACATAATTAAAAGTCTATCAGACAAGCGCTGCATAAATTTATAAAACCACCGACACAACAGTTTAAACTCTGGCTCAGTTGTGCTGCAAAATGTAAAATTATATAACAAGACTGGGCTCAAACTAGCTGCACCACAGCCTGAACCACATGTTGATCAACAGGCAGCAGTTTGCACTAAACTACCAGATTCCTCATATGTGTAAACCTACTTGGCAATAAATATCATTCTGATCCCAATTCTGATAAACAATCCCTGAAAGCTTCAGTCTACTTGGAATAAATCAAACTGACTTACAGCATTGAGAAGAAGCAGCTTTACTGTTATTTTACAAAGACACAACATTTCGTTTGGCATCACCTTAGTAGCAGCTAATATGGTCACAGGTTTAAGAAAGAAAAAAAAAACCTTAAAAGGTGATATAAATAATAAAATAGCAATAAAATAGAAGTGCAAGAGAGCACTTGTTAGAATAAGTCCATAAATTAGGAGTGTCATGGTTCCTGTCTCTTTCACAGCCATGGGGAGAAAAAACTGTGTTGGACTCATTAGTTAACAGTCTGACCACCTATATTCTAAATTGCAGTATTTGCTGTTTGGTTATTTCACCGTTTTACTGTGATTTTGATTTAAAATCTAGTAACTTTTCATTCAGACTAAAAGCTTACACAAACTAAAATACATCAAATATGTAGAACAGACTAAACAGTTTTGTTTTTTTTAAGTGTAGACAGGAAAAATAATCTCCTGCAAGACAATAGTCCATATTAGGTACATCTGCACATGTTGGGTCCATATTCTGAACAATCTGAAACAAGCGTTTAACTTTGAAGTCGCACGGTGCACTGCCAGAAAATGACATAAAGTGTCGTATTATATTACTTTCCTGTCGACAGTTACACAACATTCAGTGCTAACCCACTAAAGTGACTGCAGAAACCACTTAGACGTTTCAGTAAAATGCCAAAACGGGAAAATACGGAACACAAACATGACAACAACTGTCATAAACGTCAAGACTGTTGACGTTATAGCAACAAGCTAGTCAATGAGCAAAACCAAGCGCTTTGGAATATACTCACGAAGCTGCATTAAAAATAAAAGTATGCACTCAAAATGATCACAACAGGTCTCCAAATGTTCCTGCAAAGCGTGATATGCTTCAAACTACACGTAAAAATGAAACACATCCTTGCAGTGATTAGCATGTAGCTAGCTTCCTTTAGCAGCAGCTCCCTTTGTAAAGGCCTGCTCACAACGACAACCAAACTCACCGTAATGAAAGTTGCCCACGTCTGGGTCGTAAAAGTACGAGGTTCTGTTTGTCATTCTGAAAAAGCAATATGTCCCGACTTTCTTTGAAAAACTGTTCTCCGTCTTGCAGTTAAAAAAGCCGCATTTTTCTTTCAATTAGCAGACAGCCGCCATAGTAAACACCGAGGGGCTACGTCATCAGCCGGGGACGGTAGTGACGGAGAGGGGCGGGGGAG